GGGATTGGGCTGATATTTTAACTGTTTATATTAATATATTACTATACACTAATTTCTAACAGATCATGAAATATATGTCATGTTATCTGTATGATTATTTTTATCTATAGAAAACTGGACAAATTTTCAAAATAGTCTTCCTTGGATTTTTATTCTCAAAAAAAAAATTTGAACTTATTTTTAAAAACCGACCTGGTTTCATCCCTGACGCTGAAACCAGATCGGTTTTTGAAAATATTTTTCCGAAACTTCACGGAAGTTGAACTCCCGTGAAGTTCAACTCCCGTGAAGTTTAGCAGATTTTTAACTAACTGCTAAAACTTCACGGGAATTCAACTCCCGTGAAGTTTTATTGCTTAAACAAACTTCACGGGAGTTCAACTCCCGTGAAGTTTTATTGGTTGAATAAACTTCAAGAGAGTTCAACTCCCGTGAAGTTTGTTACAGTCCAAAAACTCCACGAGAGTTCACCTCCCATGGAGTTTCAGTCAAATTTTCAAGAGAATCACTCTCTGGAAAATTAAGCATGTAACTCCACGGGAGTTGAACTCCCGTAGAGTTGCAGGTTTTACAAAACACGCACAGCAGCCTGTGCATGTTTTGTATATACGTAACGTAACTCATATACGTTATATTTATCTGTTAACAATAATTGATCTCATATACACTGAATTACAATAATATATACATAATTCAACCATGAATTAAACACGAATCAAACAATACTCACAAAGAGTACATATATAAACAATAATTGATCCACAAAAGTATAGTATTTGAAAATTCATAAAATTTACAAATTTTAACAAAATAAGCTCACATACAACCCAAAATAGCTCATCTCATTCATCTCCCTCTCTTCCCCCTCCCCCTCGCTCTTCCCCGCCCCCCTGCGTTCCTGCTCATCAGCATGTGAAGTGCCGGCTTCATCAGCATGTGAAGTTCCGGCTCCATCAGCATGCGAAGTGCCGGCTCCATCAGCATGCGAAGTGCCGCCGTCATTGTCACGTGGCCATCGTCGTCGCGTGTACGCTTGCCCAAATGATCGAGACATGTCCTCACGGCCTGCAAACTCGTCGACGTGAGTCTTATAAAACACATGTGCTATTGTCTTCTTGATCTTGCTGAAGACCCCTAACGCCACCGAATCCTGAATCTCAGGCATGTGCGCATCAATATCAGCTTCAATGCTATCAAAAACACGGCTCTGCGAGGTAAACAATTTATGAAATACCGTCTTAATAAAAATTATTATAATTTAGCTTAGAAACTTACATAATCTCTCTCGATCATCCCACTAGGGATGTAACTGTCTGTCGGTGGGCATGACATGTGTCCAGCTGATAGCTGTGGTTCACGCGTGATTCATCTACACGTGATATCCTAATACCAACGCATATATGCGATATAGTCAACAGCTGTGTCTCTTGTATCCTGTATGAAATCCCACCTGTGAGTCCACCTGTCTATGTAGGCTGTACAGACTACGGCCCAGTCGGTACGGTGTGACGTAGGTCGTCGCCGACGATTAATCTGCTCAACAGGCGCTGGCACATGCTGAGAGAGCAGAAATTATCCTTGCACACGGTCGGGGACATGCATCTCCACAATCTCCCAACAGAACAATATAACTCTGGCTCTCCACAAGTCAGGACTATCTCGACAGATAGGTGCAAGAGTATGCATATCGAGCTTCGGCGGTGAAAAGGGTCTCCACTTGAACTGAAATAAGATAAAATATTTATCAGTATCAACAACAAAACTATAATATTCATAACGAATCGAGTTTTATATTTACCTGTTCGTGTTGGAGGCCATCAAGCTTATTTTGGTAAAACTCACGATGTCGCATCGCTGATTTATAGTTAGCGTACCGCATGTTATACCTATTTGGCATAAAGAATATATGAGTTCAAATTCAGTTGAATAAAGTTGTGTGGACAATTATACATGTATGCCAAAGGAAATTGTCCCTGTAAGTCGCAGTGCACAAGCAAAGTCGGTTTGCCAACATGAATGCGCTCCCATGACCAAATCTGGATCAATGCGCAACATCCCTTAAATTCTTTATTCTACATTAAGGATACTCTACCCAGTTCTCTATACAAGTATGCCAACACCGCACTGTCCCATGATAGTGCATCGCATACACCAAAATCCTCCAGTAGTGGCAGACATCGTGCATGTACAAGAGCCTTGCTCGCATCAGTAAATAGCATACACCCTATCATGTGCAATATGTACGCACGAGCATGAAACTGAAGCGTCTCAATGGAGGTATCTGCTGGTATATCTCCCTGAAATGTCTGATGAAGCCACGATAGCTTCATCGCACCACTCCTCAAGTCGGGAACCTGACCAAGAAGCTTGTTTGGTGGAAAATTTGTGAAATAAAAATAAAAGAATTGTGTTTGATTTTATTCTCTCTAACTGCTTAGAAAAAGAATGTTTATAACTCTCTCAATCTCAATTACAATTAGAAAAAGAATGTTTATAACTCTCTCAATCTCAATTACAATTTGGATTTCCTGATTACAAAAGAGAAGAGAATTGATCTGAATTCTCACTCTCTCAATCTCAATTACAATTTGGATTTCCTGATTACAAAAGAGAAGAGAATTGATCTGAATTCTCTCATTTGTTTAAGTCTGGATTCTTCACGGTGGCTATAAGATACCTCCCTCGAATGCTCGTGTCGAGTTTGCTTCTCGTTGATGTAGGCTGTCTAAAAATCACAATAGATAGCTTACTCAAACAAGCTCCGACAATGGAAGTCACAATCAGACGACTTTCTAAATCACTGCATCCGTAACTCCACAATCGCCACAAACACGACTTCATTTCTGAGATGATTAATCTTGATGGTTGCGATAACAACATGACTAATATTTTAGCAACCATTTGAGATGCTGATGAGCAGCGGGATGATTTCAGAAATAAAAGGTTAGACTTAGTTGGTGAGTTGCTTGGTAGAGAGCTGTGGGCAAATATCCGTCTTTGAGACACTATGGGTGTTGATTCCCGTCTAGCTCCTACAACGAAA